GAACTTATTATTAGGGACCCCATGTTACTTAAGTTGTTGTGGAATGAGATATAGTAGAATAATGAGAACTTGATTCTTGATGTCTTGTTATTGGAGAATTTTATTTCAAAAGGTAAAAAGAATAGTTACGCCTCTCCTTTGTGGTAAGCAATATCCCACCAGAGCCATATATAGACTAAAGAAACCTTCTACATATACTACTTGTCATTGTATTGAGTTTGGTCAAACGTTGTGACCGTTGTTGAGAAACTTATCATGCTCTCAAGATCAAAATCACATACACTCCACAAATATCTGCTGCTCCTAGACTGGGGTATATAAAAATATGTTTTTTATCCACCCAAAAATGTTCTACTCCTACACTGGAATAGACACAAAAATAAGTTTGTTAAGATAAATGTTCTAAATTCTTGTAAATGTCTCTCTTGAAAAGTTTCAATTGCAGAAAGAGAGGCATGGGCTATGCAAAGTTATTCATAAAGAAAAGAAAAAAAAAGTATTGAAAAAATGGATAAGTATCCAAGATATATAAAACAATGGGTACTCAGATGCTCGCCTGAAAAGAAAAAAAAAGAGAGAGAAATAAGATAGCCCATGTTTTCTTGCAAAAAAATTTTAAGTTTCAATCAAGAGAGATATGTTTCAATGAGCACAGTAGAATTAGGTTAGCTACCATATATATATCCACACACATGCACATCTTGATCTAAGAGTATGACATCTTTCTCCTCGGATCCTTGTTTTAACTTTACAATATATGCAATGCAAATATATTTTCATATTCATCCCTACCTAAGCTCCACATAAGCTTTTAGAAGTAGGCAAAAAGAAGACAAAATCATCAATACCTTGGCGAGGATCAAAAATACCATATATACAGAGTGATTTGAAAGTACTACAAAAGGAGAAGGTAAGCTATGTTTTGTTTTCAAAAATCTTAAAATGTTTCTCCAATTGTCTTGACTGAAGGAAGATGGTGATCTGTTTCAAACTGTTCCATTCTTCAACCGCCCAAAGTTTCATGGTAGACACTTTGAATCCTGCAGTGCATGCATGACTGGGAATGGTTTTATGTTGATGTCTTGTCCTAAGGTTATGTCTTGAGTAATCCATCCTTTTATCGAGAACGAGTAAAAGCTTAAGTGTGGAGAAGTTTGTTGACGGTAGTTAACATTCATCATAAACCATCAATATAACTTATATAAATGGCTAAAAAGGATCACCAATGTAGACTTACGGGTTTAAACTAACAAATTCCATGAGTTTTGGTGAATCTGTGTTTCCAGCAGGATTTAATTAGAAAACCGCCAAGGAGGACCTATTCATAAAAAGAAATCACGAAATTCCGCCGCGTAATCGACGTGGGAAGACTCTAAAAAACTCCAGAAGGCGAATCACCGAAGCGGGACACATGTCTCTGACATGTGGGGATGCCCGGCCCCACCTATTTTTTAATTAGTGTTCCCGGGTTTCATTATTAGATCTTATCTTATTGGATTTGTTGTGAGCGCTGGTCCTATGGGTCTAATAGAAGTAAGTAGATGGAGAGATCAGCCACAAACGATTTGATTTCTAGTTTTGTCATATCACATGTTGATGACTTTGTGAAGTATTGATCAGTGAACCATTGCGGGCAGGTAGCGAGAAAGCATTATCTATGTAAAATCTTTGTCTCAAACCATCCCAGCAAGAGGATGCGCGTTAGCGCAACGGCTTTCGCGCTTCGTTGTTATGTCGGTTCTCCACCGCCTTAAGGATTGTATCTCCACCGTTCTTTAAGTCAGTTTGATCCAAGGGCTCAGGATTGACGCTCTGGCCTATATATACCAGCCTACACCCCTCCTCCAGGGCATGTCTCATTTGATCCTGAGAGCTGAGAAGCCAGAAACCCTAATTCATATGTCCACCAGGATTAGAGCTAACAATCAAGAGAAGATTAGTCCTCAATAGGATCTAGTCTTGTATTAGAGATAGTGAGATATAGTGAGAGAGAAGAGTTTGGAGGAGTCTCGGCCTATCGACGCTCTCTCTACGGCTTGTACCCTGGTGGAATCAAGTTCTTCTTGAGCTTGCTTCTGAGATTTCTCTAGTAATCGACTTCTAATTCAAGTAAGCATCTTGTTAATATTGTTCTTCAGGTTTGCGACTCTCTTTTAAGTACTTTAATCCTTATAGCTCCTGGGTTAAAGTAGTATTCGTAGTGTAAGCGTGGTGCTTAGACTCAGTTACTCGTGAATGTACCCTATTTTCTGGATCGGTGGTAGCTCGCGAGGGTGACTCTTATAGCCTCGTTGAATCCTTTGTAGTCCACATCCCGTTAGTAGGCCTAGCAGGACATTGTTGCTATAGGAAACATATTTTGCATGTGTTTTCTCTAGTAATATCTCCATAATTGAACAATAGAAAACAAAGCTTACCAAAGTTAGAACTAGAAGACCTTAGCAGTCTCCTCTACGCTCCTATTATCTAGCCTTGATTGTAAAGTTGGGATAAGTTAGATTTAGTTATTCTCACTCATGTTTCCTCGAGTTCGATATAAAACTGGGTACTCCCGGTGAAGTGCTAGATCGGTATATTATCCGTGCGCTTGCGGATTATTCTGTGTGCATTAATTTATACCAACACCCTTGTTACCCAATAACTATATATTCACCTTTCATATGCATGTGTCTAATATGATGAACCTCTAAGGAGATTACCTAGCATCTTTGTATCCTGATTCCTTGTTACCTTGGGTTTATGCATATTGGTAGTTTTGCTTAGCCCACAATCACCAAACCATATGAAGTTAATATTGACTAATGGATTATGAAATTAATGATAAAATGATGCTTTTTAGCAACATGGATAGAAGGGGGCTAGAGCATTGGGCCTTTTTGGGTGCTCTAGTCTGCCCTCTCGTAAGGACTGAATCTTAAAGCGACAACCCAGGACTTATAGTACAGCCACAAGAACTACATGGCTCTAGTCTTAACCTAGTGTCTTGATCTGTTCTAGTTCATCGGCAGCTTACCAAAAGGGCAAGAGGGGGGCACTAGTTGGTATGTTTCTTTTCCTACCAGGGTGTGTACTATGCCACGACTATGAGTGCCACTCCTGGAGGAGGGCTACGTATGACTAGACGGCTGAAACCTTAATGGCTGCTACTTATTAGAACGACTGGTGAAAAGCTTTGTAGTGATCCCTGCCAACTTACCTTGGAAGTGAGTCAAGAGGTTGGCCGCCTCGGGCAATGGGCACTCACAACTCGTGGTGAAAGTGTACAACCTCTGTAGAGTGTAAAACTGTATATCAGTCGTGCTCACGGACACGAGTGGCCTGGATCCTTTTCGAGATAGATGGTTCTATGGATGGTTTGGGTGATGATTAATCTTGATGATAATTATACTTTCACCTTGGGAGCTTAAGCATAACCTAGCAACATAGGTTTAACAAATAAAATATGACCAACTAAAAATGCTTACCGCAGTTCAGCCGTGTCCAGCCTTTTGATCCTTGCATCCCCTCATGTTACACTTGTTGAGTATGGTGCGCTCACACTTGCTTTACATACAATCAACAAAAATCCTAGATGGGTACCAGGCGGTGGATTCAAGTGATGAGTTACAGGAGATGTTCCAAGAGTACTAGGCAAGTGCTCCTCCAGTCAACCGTCCCTGTGGAGTATGGAGTCCCGAACAGAAGATATAGAATAGCTTCTGCTATGCTTTGTAATAGATGTAAGTCTTTATGTAACTATGTTTCGATATATAATAAAGCATTGTTCTTGATATTTTTCATATTTGTCACTATATGTGTTGTGTGGACATCCTGGGCACACATATAGTTAGCGTTTGGTATTCTTTGAAAAACCGGGTGCGACACATTGCCACCACTTCCTATGGTGCCACTCTCGACCTTCTCTTTCCCCTTCTTACTCGCCATTTACAATGGGACAGTGTCTTCGAAGCCTATCTTGCCACAAGGAAATACATGCTCAGCTTGCTTGACCTAATTGGGCATGACACCGTAGCAATACTCAACCTCCTCATACGGGTTGCCTCAGTGCACACATCTCAAGATATTCTGGTACGTATCGCCATGCACTCCTATGTTTGTTTTCGTGGCAAGGCAACACATAGCAGGGTGTGGTGGCCAAGAACAAAGAGAGCCCCTTTCACACTTCTGAGAATGGGAAGATGAAGGCATGTAGGTTAAAAACGCTAATTTCACCTTGTTGGATGTCTTAGAGCAAAATTTATCTTTTTTCTTTCTCTAACTACTTCCTCTAGTCTTGAAATCATAGAGGTAGTTTGATCAATAAAATGTTATCCGTACATAATAGATTTTGACCACTAGTTTCTCTTAGAACATGTTGTTATTTGCTAAAGAATCAATATCATTTTAGAACCCACTTTGGGGGACAAACCATTGACCAGCTACTACCCAAGTTTGTTATCTGCGCAAGTCAAGCACGTTGGGGGGTTTGGCTTGGAAAATTAAATATCGTGTTCTACTCACTCCATTTCCTTTTAAAAGGGGGGTATTATTAGGATTTTTGAGAAATTAAAGTTGCTAGCTTTTTTATGTCCATTATAATTAATTTGTTTTACAACATATTGTCATTTATTATTATAAACTATTGTTTACTAAACAACATTTGAGACACAAATCTATTGATGTATGTATTTTGTGCGATATATCAAAGTTTCTAATATTTGACCTTTTGGGTCCTAGTCACCCTACATTTTGAAATAGAAGAAGTACTATAGTACATTGTCGGTGACAAACTAGGAGGAGCCTTAGTTGGGACCCAGTGAATTTAGCGTATGCTTATCACAAACCGAAAGCCATATGTTTCGGGTGAGAGACAAATCAACACAATTGTGGTCGATTTATGTTTTTAAAATCATCCAATTCATGGAAGGGCATGTGCCCCCACTCGACTTTTCATATGTCTGAATTTGTGATTTGGTATCCTGTTTAATTAGGCCATGTTTGTAAATTTTGGAACATGGACAATGGTGGAGGCAGAGAAGACTGCTACCCTAGCACCAGCATCGTGCGATGCGCTGCCGAGCCCTGCTGTTCAGCGATCAACTTCTGCGCCCTCCACAGTTGTGACCGTGGTCGATGATGTGGCCCAAGTTGCGACCCCAAGTGCTCAGCTGGCAGCGGCGGCTAGTCGGATCACCTACAGTTCCCGCGGCCTCCTTGCAGAGCTTCATCGCATCCCTGAAGCTGCCATTAATTGGAGGAACCGCTGATCGCTTCCCCCCACGCCGGCATGTATCGTGCCTTGACGACTCCATATTCGTCCCAAGGCGCAGTGACAGGTTAGCTGCCAAGTCCATCCACCGTGACCCCAACCCGGAGAAGCAGGCGAAGCGCGTCCTTCTCTACAAGTGGACACGCATGCCACCCAACGGGTCACAGACGTCGGCCATTGCGGCGAAGTTCTATGAAACATTTGTCGAACCGCTTTCTGCCTCCAAGCAGGCCGCCATGCGTGAGATGTTCCCAATGGCTAGAGCGTGCAAGGGCGGAGTGCTGCCCATGTCAGATTTGCCTAGCGGGCAACGCTGACCCAGCTCTTTAGTCGCATAATTAGTTTCTTAGTTAATCAAACCAATGTGCGTTCCACTGCCTTGTGGTGCCTTTTGTTTGTGTTCAACCCCATCACTAATGGCATCTCGTTGTGATGTGATGTAGGGCATGTAAACTTCTAAACTTCTTTTTAATAAAACACGTGCTAAGTATGTTCTAGAAAAAAAAAGTCTCTCATCGAAGCGAAGTGAGTGAGCTATGGCACTTTGTCCGGTGGCGACACTTACGCGTGCTGTGTGGTTGGGACACTTCTGTGAGCACACAGGGCTGTTAAAGGCTGGTATTAAAGGGATAAGTCATTAAGCTGTTTTGTTATGAGAGAAAAATACTATAGATTCTAGCTGATAAGTTCAAGCGAATAGGGCGTGGATTAGTGCCTGCATTTTGGCACTGAACGCTGCGGTCATTGAGCGTGCCTCCACGCTCCAGGCCTCCTCGCGCTGCGCTCGCCGCTCCTTGAGTTGTCGCATACCTTGGAGGAATCGGTCCAACAGTTCCTCAATGTACTTGTGGCCCATCACCAATCACGATCCTGATCCACCGCCGCCGCTAGACACCTTTCTCATCGTGTCGTCACTTCTTGGTTGCTTTCCCCGCGCCACTTACCCTTCCGCTTCGGAGTCAAAGGCGAGAGGCGCCCGCGCCGGAGCTATGTCTCACCGGAGTAGGGCTGCGTGCCTACACAAGCCCGTGGCGGATCTCACGCTCGGGGACAAAGAGCCCACGACAAAGGGAAACGGTCGCTCGGGAAAAAAGAACGAAGTAGTATCTTCCATAACGAGTGGTAGGCATGTAATTTCTTTGAAGTTGCCCACCTTCATAGTAGGTGAAAGCAGGGGGAGCTGTTGTGAGTTTTGTATTAGAGCAAAATCAGATTTTGGTCTAAAGTAGCTGTGAGTTTTTACCTCTTTAGTTGGCTTTTGGCCTTTTTAGGAAGCTAGCAGGTTGAGAAGCGCCCAACCAAAAGGGGCCAAAGACCGCTTTTGTATTCTTATTAGATTTGAAGCAAGCTATTTCAAGGTGAAGAACTACCTATAGAAAGATAAGATGATAGCAAGTCCAAGCACTGGAGAAAGAATGAGCTAAGGCAATAATAAAAAAAAACTAAATGGGAGAGAAACCAAAGGAAGACTAGGAGGAAGATACTCTGTGAAACAAAGGGAACAAATGATGTATAGTTGAGGCCGAGAGTGTAGGTGATTTCCAATCCTAGAAGCCACTTGTGCAATTTGTTGTCACAGCAGCATCGTTGAAGACATGGAACCCTGTCCAGTTGACGCGCCTTTTTCATGTTCGCACCGAATCCCGTGTTTTGGTACTCGCCATAGTAGATGGTGATGATGGAAACTACAACAAAAATAAATTTTGCCCTAAAAGGCACGTGCCTCCATGCACATCCAATAATAATGAGCAGGGGCACATGCCCTCAAGGGAAAAAAAACGTTTCCTCAATTGTGGCATTCCACTTTTCCTAATCGACACTTCATTGAAGTTGTGCCCGGGTCTTCTTCATTGTACAATCCTAGAAAACAAAATCTGAGTAGTTGTCCGATCCATTGCATCCCTGAGCAGTTATGACATTATGCTTGCCAGGCACCGTCTTGGCCACGAGGAGGGTGCAATCCTAGATTCCTAGAACATCACCCTGGATCAGAATGTTCATGATTTTACAACCTGCCCAATAGATCCATCTTAATCACATCCAAACCGCAAAAAAAAAAAAAAAAACAATCAGTACACGGGTGAGGTGGGTATGGGTAAAACCCATTGATTCCAAAAAAAAAAAAAATTAAGCACATTGGCAGTTCGGGTAGGGCCAGTGGCCCCGTGGGTAGCTACGCGAATACGCCAGTGGATGCCTCGGGCAAGGCAGCGAGCTTGAGAGTTACCTGCATAAGTCTATATACTGCTAGGACTTATCTCAAAGCAAGCTCAGCTTGCATCTCACAATTCACCAAGAAATAAGAATTGATCCATTGCTATTTGAACCCCCTCCACCAGCACCTGTCACACAAAACTGTGGTGCTTTTGACTGAAACTACGAGTCCCATGCACCGATCCTCAAAAATGGGCTTCTTAACAGTTGCGGCTTACCTAATTCAGGCAGCCCATTGAAGATTGAACAACACAAGCCCGTCGGCACACGCCGGCACGCGGGATTAAGCTCGGTGGGACAACAGGGCAGAATGATCGTTCGTCCTCTTCGATTGAACTTATCACTACTTATTAAAGAACAGTGTTTTCCTTCCACGATAAATCGTAAATCAGCATCAGCAACGGAAAATCAGCCAGCCGAATTTGTTCCCTGGCGGGCTGGAGGCCTCGCCCGTATGGCCACTCCCCCGCATGCTGCCGCCTCCGGCAAGCCACGCCACGGGGCAGCGCACACGACGCGCGCACAAGTAAAGCTTCGCCGCGGGCACACCGCGCCCGGATGCCACCCGCGCCAGGAAGAGCTAGCCCTCCATGGCGACGGCCACGGCCATGCCACCGCGGCGGAGGCACGCGGCGACGGGCGCCGCGGCGGGGGAGTGGGCGGCGGTATCGACCTCGGGCGAGTGGCGGTCGGAGGCCATCGGGAAGCACCAGCTAGTGCGGCGGACGGGGCTGTCGGCGCGCGACCTCCGCGCGCTCGACCCGGCGCTGTCGTACCCGTCCAGCGTCATGGGCCGGGACCGCGCCATCGTCGTCAACCTGGACCGCGTCCGCGCCGTCATCACCGCGTCCGAGGCGCTGGTCCCCGGACCGCGTGACCCCTCCGTCGCGCAGCTCGTCGCCGAGCTCCGCGCGCGGCTCGCCGCCGCCTCGCCCGCGCCGCCGCGTGCGGTCTCGGTCTGTCTCTGTCTCTCTTGCTTTTCTCCGTCTGAATCTGATCCGATTGGCTTTGTTAGACTGTTTATGGCTGCTTACGCAAGATCTCATCTTTTGGGCGGGTTGAAGGACGGCGAGGCAGGGAAGGACGGGGGCGTCTCGCCGCCGAGCGGCGGCGGCGGCAAGGTGCTGCCGTTTGAGTTCAGGGCGCTGGAGGTGTGTCTCGAGTACGCGTGCAAGTCACTCGAACATGAGGTAAGGTCCCTACATATCCACGATCTGCTAACTTTAATTTTGGATGCTCTGTGCTGAATTGGAATTGCATATAAACAGCATAGGGACCTTTATCCTGTTCACTGAAATCATCTTTGCTTCCTACCGTGCATATATTTCATCAGACATCGATGCTGGAGAAAGAGGCGTACCCAGCGTTAGATGCACTCACCTCAAGAGTCAGCACTCTCAATCTTGAGCACGTACGGCAAATAAAGTGCCGATTAGTTGCCATTTCTGGGGGAGTTCATAAGGTAATAAGCTACCGGACGATTATGCTATGAGAGAGCATTTAGGTGTTTTATGATTTCATTACCACAGGTCAGGGATGAACTCGAACATCTGCTAGACGACGATGCTGACATGGCAGCGATGCACCTATCGGAGAAGGCCGCATTCCAAGCAGCTAGTCAGTCGTCCAGATTCGACATCGGGACAGAACTCGTCGAAATCGATGAAGATAGGTACTGAATTCTCAATTTCTGATCAGTGAACACTGAACACCTCCAGCAGAAGCTATCGTTTCCTTCCATCCACAAAGTCGTTAGCTTTGCAAATAATCCAAGCTAAGACATTGTTTTTCATGATGAACGCGCGCGCAGGGATGACGACGAAACAGAAGCAGAGCAAGGATCCATGGCCTTCATGCCGAAGATCGACGAGCTGGAGAGCTTGCTGGAGGCCTACTTCGTGCAGATCGACGGCACCCTGAACAAGCTCTCAGCTGTACGTCCATTCTCCTGCCCCGCAATCCATGCCGTGCGCTGAAGAAACGCTTAATTTCTTGGTTCATTCATGGATTGGTTTGGACTGAAATACTTGAAGCTGCGGGAGTACGTGGAGGACACGGAGGACTACATCAACATCATGCTGGACGACAAGCAGAACCAGCTGCTGCAGATGGGGGTGGTGTTGTCCACGGTCACGCTGCTGGTCACCAGCGCCGTCGTCGTCACCGCCGTCTTCGGCATGAACATCCACATCGCGCTCTACAGGATCACCGACTTCAACGTTTCTGGGAGGCCGTCGGCGGCACGCTCGCCGGCGCGGCCACGCTGTTCGTCGTCGCCATGCTCTACTACTGGAAGAACGGGATACTGCGGTGACCGGCCGTCCGGCTCCGGCTCTTCTTCAGCGTGAGCTACACTGCACAGCCTTCTGTGTTCTTGCTCAGCTCCTTTGTTACGAAGATGAATGCAATGTAAGAATGTGCGCCTTAATCAGCGTGTGATAATGCGAGTTGAACTTGCAGAATGTTGTGGTGAGCGAGTAGACATTGCTGTGCTGTGGCCACTCTCTTGCTTATACCACCGTATAAATGTTTCTCTGAACATGTCAAGGAGAAAACTTGGGCAACAAGCGTCTGTTTTGATTATCTTTCCGTTCCTATTCTGGTATTGCTAAGAGCGTCTCCAAGGTTCTTTTTAAAATTTACTCTATAATATAAATCATCATTTGGAAAGTTATTTGAGTGAGAACCGTTTTTTATATTTTTATACCATTCAACAACTTTTCTACGCTCTAGAGAGCCATCAACTAGCGAGAAATCCAGAATAGATGATGTCTATATTTCGAGTTCCATTTAAAGAGGTTGTTAGAGAGTATTTTTTTCATCAAAATCTCTATTCCTATAAATTATGAAGTATATAAAGAGTCTCTTGATGTTGATCTTTTTTTTCATAAAAATTAACCTTGTGTTTTGAGTTTTCCTTTGAGGATTCTCTACGTTCGAAATTTCATAATTGCCACTAACATTTTTTGTTAGTATTCCACCGACCCATGCTGCGGCACAAGCCAGTGATTTTAGGAGGCATGAGTGTTAAAATCCATGGATAAATTTATGATCACGTCTAATCAAAATTGGTTATCATTACTCTCTCATATTTACACATATTCTATCATAATACTCATCTAGAGATATACTTTCTTTTTTTATCCTGTGATGATAGATCTTAGTTGATAACTATAACACTAATATAATCTTTTTTCTTTATCCGTTGTTATAGATTTTGAGTTACCAAATATTTTATAAGTTTATATAGTTTTCATTCCCATTGAAAGTTATTTTCTCATTTGCATCGTGTCTGCTTATGTGTTTGACATGTTCAGTTAAACCTTAGCTCTAGATATGTGTTTGACACATAAATCAACATTTTCAAGACATTCTACATACATATATACATGATTTGCATGATGACATGCATCACACATGTGTGCATTGACTTAGTTTTTAAAAATCTTATATAGGGGTGTTTTAGGATATTTTTATAATGACAGACTTAGGTTTTTATATGCAAATTAGGAGTTAATTTATGCTATTTTCAATAAAAAAAAGTCCAATTACTCTCCAAGTTGTATTGGCCTATGTTCGATAACCAAATAAACTGACGTTTCATTTTTACTCCCCTAATTATTTTTATCGAACCAGTTTATCCCTTAACAAGATTTGTTTTTATTTCTTTATGAATAAATTTTAAATTTCGTGAGGTGATAGGGAGGACATCATACTATGTTAAAAAGTACATTATGAATTTTTCATCATTATATTTCATACATTTTGTATGTTCTAGACTTCTAGTGTTGATTTATCATTACATGTCGTAACCTATTAAGGCCTCTTTTGGAACGCAGGAATGAAAAAACATAGAAATAGGAAAAACATAGGAATGTGATAGGAATGTATATGGAAAACAGAGGAATTGAAACCATAGAAATTTTGTTAGAACATGTGTTTGGATGGGTCTAGGAAAAACATAGGAATCAAACTTTTTTAACCATACTCTTGGCCCTAATGAAATTAATTTCATATAGGAAAATCCTGACATCATTTCTTGGCCTCTCGGCTCCACCTCCCTGTTCTCTCTCCTGAACCAATGTTTGCCTTGATCCTACGCTTTCCCATGAAAACAATGAAGTTGGAGTAGATGTTTGTTTCCTACACTTTTCCTATGAAAGTTGAACCATAGGAAAAATTCCAAAGGATTGTGGATTCCTGTGTTTTTCCTTCAAAATTCCTATGAAACAAAGGGGGCTAAATGATAAAGAAGGTTATGATGCATTTTTTAAATAATTTGTTGTGTCTACTATCACCCAAAAAAATTGAAATTAAAACTCAACTTGTATACTAAGAATAAAAAAAAGTCTCTTTAAGAAGCAAATTGAACCAATTGAAATGATTGGAAGAGTAAATAGATCCATACGTTAGTTTAGGGGTTATGTGGATATAGGCCAAACTTGGGTGATTAATTAGACAATTTTCTTTTTTAATAGTAGTAGAGGTAGGTAATTTAAAATATAGGTTTAAAGGATTAGTTTAGGTAATTTCTTCATTTCATAATGGTATATGTGGGTTATTTATATATAGATATAGGTTGTTACTTTAATTTTTAATATAATGTTGAATATTGGTAATTATTCATAAACACAATATATTTAATGTGAGTCTAACGAATTACTAATAGTAGGATGTTTCTAATTTTTATGTAAACCTTTAGAGTTATATTTTTCCCTAGTGCCTATCATGAGACTTAGGCCCTATTTGCATTGGTAGAGCTCCATGTGGCTCTAGTACTTTTGTGCAAGCTCTTTTTACCTTTTCTCTCAAAATACATTAGCAGCCGATGAAGTAAGTATTTTTTATTTCACCACTATAGTAAGGAGCTGGAGCCGTACCAAACCTGACCTTAGTAAAAAGTCCACAACTTTTTTAAGGAACACGAGGGGCAAAGCCCCTGCTAAATAAATTAATTAAAATATAAAGTGATACAAATAAATACATAAATACAAAAAATAGGGAGAGCAAGAGGAGGAAAAACATGAGAAAATATTCTAGAGACAAAAAAGGATTAAAAAAAGATAAGAAGAAGAAGTACAAAAAGCTTTCTATCCATGAGAATAAAAAAGGCTAATTTTCTCTTGACCCTATGCAACAACAGAGCCAATTCCTTGAAAAGGTTTGACTTGCACTTCCCAACGTTAGGTTGAATTCCTTTAAAGATAAGATCATTTCTTTCCGCCCGAATGCACCAGCAAAGGAGGATAAGATGTCCAGGAAAAATTGTTGGTTAAGTTGTGTTATCAATTCCAAAGCTTGAAATCTAGAAAGATTGTGGCGTCATTCTAGCAGCTTGCAGTGAATATGCAGTGAAGGAAGAGGTGTTTCAGGGTTTGCATTTTTGTACTAAGGAAAAAGAGAGTTTTACAGACAACCGGCCATCTCAGCCGTTACAACGTAAGCTGCTACTTGGCGGCGGGAAAACCCATCGTAGTGGACCCGTGTGGTAAGGAAAAATGGGTAATCTATTCCTTAACAAAAATTTTTTTGGAGATTATGTAATGCTTACTCTCAAACTTTTTGTCTATTCAGTAGTGATATTCTTTGTTTCCCACTTTATCTTTGGATTCTTATCTAATGACCCAGGACGTAATCCTGGGCGTGAGGAGTAAAAATTCCAAAAAAAAGGAATTTTTTCTTATAAATTAAAATTAGATTTATTTCGTACATTTATTTATGAGAAAATCCGTGGGTCAGAATCCCTTACAATTCGAAAGTCCCAAATAATGTGAGGGGCGGAAAGAGAGGGATTTGAACCCTCGATAAAAAAAAATGTACAACGGATTAGCAATCTGCCGCTGAACAACAGAGCCCGCTAACTCCCGATGAGACTACCCGGTTGCTACGGGACTGTTTGGTTCCTTTCCCTCCTCCTAAAATTTCTGTCACATCAAATGTTTGGACACATGCATGGAGTATTAAATATAGATTAATTACGAAACTAATTGCACAACTTGCGACTAATTTGCGAGACGAATTTTTAAGCCTAATTTGTCCATGATTTGACAACGTGGTGCTACAATAAACATGTGCTAATGGACAACAAAAATTTATCTCGTTAATCCATTGGCTTAATTTTGTAATTAATTTATATTTAATGCCTCCTGATGATCTGTGGCATAAATTTTAGAAGCGACTAAAGAACCAAACACCCTCTAAGCTACCTAGGACAACAACCCCCGCGTGAATCCATTGGCTGGCTTCAGCCTTATGATCTGCAGCAAGCCCTGCACCGCAGTCGAGGACTACCTAAAGCACCGCGTATTCCGTTTCTTCCATATGTTTTTTTCAGGGTTTGCTCAGTAAATATGTTTTTTTCCTTCTAAATATGTTTCTTGTGCTTAGGCTAATAAGAGGATTTCCGGAGCAAAGTAAAAGCTGGGTGATCCTCAACATGTTTTCAACTTTTTTAGATGCGAAGTAATGACAGTAAGATAGATACACCGTGATTGTTGAGAAGGCCTCTAAGTACCTAACATCTACTCTCTCTCTCTCCGTAAAAAAACAAAGTGTTATTGTAGTAGTCGCATTGGTCAAACTTTTTCAAATTTAACTAGTTTTTTTAAAAAATATTAATAATATTTATATCTCTAAATAAGTTTATATAAAAATATATTTGATGATTCATCCAAAGATACTAATTATTCTTATATACTATTCAGTAAGTGAAAATGATACTCAGACGGAGGGAGCAGGAATTCAGCTTTAGGCTGATATCAGAGTCAGTTGTGTTGGCACTGGCACGGGCACGGACGGAGACCAACGCCAGATTCTGGTCGCCACGCTTGGCAGTTGGCAGGCAGCGAGTGGTGGAGACCGCAACTCTCTATCCACTTTTGAGACCTCCTCTTCCCTTCTCGTCCCAGTGTCCCACCGCCTTCCTCTGCCCTCTCCTCTTCCAGCTGTCCATGGCTGCAGCAGCGTCGTGCTCTGCCTCGCCGCTCCTCCTCCCCTCAGGTATCCTGGCTCACCCCCCACTTACAGCTCACTTCTTTCCTTGCCATCTCAGCTCACTCGTCCGTGCCTGATGAATGTACCGCTTGTCCACAGGGCCGAGACATGCGGCGGCCTCGACGGCGTGGCTTCGCGGCGGCGGCGCGTTCAGGAGCAGGGCGCTGAGCTCAGAAGTGTCGTGCTGCTGCAAGGCCGCCTCCGGTAGAAGCGCGGCGCAATGCAGGGCGGCTGACGATTTCTTGATCGGTGGTGGCAGCAGTACCCGGAGGGGGTTGCTAGGAGTGGCCCTGGGAGCTTCTGCCTTGGGGCTGGCAGCGTTTGATGCCGTCGCCGCCGGGTTGCCGCCCGAGGAGAAGCCCAAGCTCTGCGATGCCTCCTGCGAAACCGAGCTCGAAAATGTAGGTTGACTGGTTGAGTTATAGCGTGTGTTATTCTTGGAGTTTTTCAGTTGACTGGTTAGAAAACAAATAGCATTAACAAGGTGCTGGTTCAGAAAATTGGATACCTGCCTTTCATTTCGTGCAGTTTGAACGCTAAATCTGAACCTGAACTACCTAATGTTATCTATAGGTGCCTATGGTAACTACAGAATCCGGTCTACAATACAAGGATATCAAAGTCGGCGAAGGGCCAAGTCCACCCATTGGTTTCCAGGTTGCTCAAGTGATCACTATGTTGTCAAATGTAAAATGTACTCTGCTGTTTTTATCTAGCCATATATTCACAGCTTGTTTCACTTCTTGCCATGTAGGTTGCTGCAAATTATGTTGCTATGGTGCCAAATGGGCAGATTTTCGACAGGTGAGATTTGGACAATTGATGTGTGACATTCAGCTAAAGAGCTCTTTGTTATCTGTACTTCCTTCACTAGTTCTTTATAAGGGCGGCTGCAATTTTATTACGAGAAGAAAATAGAAACAAATGCTAGTCCAGTCTACAAGTAATTTATTTACAAAAGACACATGAATGTACCTGATGTCCTATTCACATATCAGGAGGACTTGCAAACTTAGAATTTGTTCTTTTAGCATTTTGTTTATGAATCCATTCCAGTTCTTATTGTGCTTTGCTGCTTTGTGCAGTTCACTGGAGAAAGGTCAGCCCTACATATTCCGTGTTGGATCAGGACAGGTATTACTTTCTGCATGTTCAGTTGGTATCCATGTTCTGAAATATATCATAAATTGGAGCTAGTGATTCAAGGATGAATTGATTTGAATATGAAATCGATAATGTTTGGAGTTCTCAGCTTCATGTCTATCAATGCATCAGTAGACTAAGCCACATTGGCAAAAACAAGAAAGAAACTGAAAAGACAATTTTCAGCTCTCAAGTAGAAGTTTTAGTATGTGCTTTATTTTTGTTTACTAACTCATATCTATTTGTCAACATCAGGTGATTAAGGGGCTTGATGAAGGGATTTTGTCAATGAAGGTTGGAGGACTACGTCGGTTGTACATACCTGGTCCAGTAAGTAGTACTCCCTCCATCCCAAAAAAAAAAGAAGCAATTTCAAAATAATGCTCAGACAAACTATCTTAAATTTGACTAAATTTATATAAAAAGATATTAATGCTTATCATACTAAATAAGCATAATTAGATTTGTCATGGAATGTACTTTTTATCATATACCTATTTGGAGTCTTAAATGGTGATACTAGTTTCGATAAACTTAGTCAAACTTAAGTTAGTTTGACTCTGACCAAACCTAGAATTGCATCCTTTTTAGGACGTAGGTAGTAAAAAAACGACCTCAACTATATATGTTGAAAACGAAGGTAGACAAGGTAGCAATCTGATAAAGATCTTCTTGTTCTGAAGATTTGAACAGAACAATGATGATTTTCCTTTTCTTGATCATGAACAGTTAGCGTTTCCTAAGGGTCTTACTTCAGCACCAGGGAGGCCAAGAGTACCTCCTAGCAGCCCCGTCGTATTCGACGTCAACTTACTGTACATACCAGGTCTCGATGATGAGTGAAAACATTCTGTTGCAACAGTCATCCTTTTTGTATATTGCAAGAGTAACACACTGTACATCTAGAGCAACATTTCTTTCCCGCTGCAAAATCTATGCAAGTATTTGTGTTAAGGACATAGCAAACTCCAAAAAGTTGGAGTGTTTTAGATCTAGATTTTCTAGCAAAATGATCAAAAGAAATACAGATTGGCCAAATGGGTCATTTTATGTCAACCGAAAAATAAGGTGGTCTGGATATCGAGAATTTAGACATTCAGAACAAATGCCTACTAAGCAAATGGTTATTCAGACTTTTAATTGATGGAAGAGTTTGGAAAGAGATACTGAAAAACAAACATGTAAAAAAATCAAACTTTGATTCAAACACAAAAGAATATCAACAAATTACATAGAGGAAAGTTGCCTGCAAGTTTGGCGCATTTAAAAATGCTGACAACTCTGAATATGAGTCATAATCAACTTGAGAAAAGTATTCTGGATTTACCAACTGGTGTTCAAGTGTTTGATTTATCCCACAACCCCTTGTCTACATCGTTTCCACAGAGCTTCGGAGAAATTAGATTATATTACCTGCTGCTCTCAAATAATTTTCTTAGTGTAGGAATCCCAACAGATCTATGCAACATGGTATCAATGGAGGTTATTGATCTATCTAACAGTAGTCTTTCAGGGGAGCTTCTGAACAGTTGGCGTAAGAACTTGAACATGTATACCATAGACTTCTCAAGTAATAATTTCTGGGGGAAAATACCATCCACCATAAGATCTCTAAGTAACCTCGTTACACTACATCTCAGAAAGAATAACTTATCTGGGATATTGCCCACCTCATTGCAGTCATGTAGCAGGCTGATGTTTCTTGATCTTGGTCACAATAATAATTTGTCGGGAAATATACCAAAATGGATAGGTGATGGCCTACAGAGTCTGGTACTTCTGAGTTTAGGTTCTAATCAGTTTTCTGGTGAAATTGGAAGCATGAACTATTTAGAATCACTGGATCTCTCATGGAACGATCTATCAGGTTCAATTCCTCAGAGCTTGACGTCAGCGTCATTGAGTTATCTGAACTTATCCTACAACGACCTCTCGCGAAAGATACCATTGCAAGGCCAAATTCCGACTTTCACTGGAGATTCATGCTTCGGCAATGTGAATCTTTGTGGGGTTCCACTATAAAAATCTGCTTACCCAACAACAGCAAGCATTATCCAAGAAAAAACAAGTGGAAGCATTTTGATACGCTGACATACATGTATACTTTGCTGGGTTTTGCAACTGGATTCTCCATTGTTTGCTTGACCCTCATATCCAGTGCAGCTGCAAGAAAGGCATATTTTCAGTTCGCCGATGGCATACTCTATAAGTTGCACACTGCAACTGACATGAAGTTCCATATCAACAGGATGTAAGCAGGACGAGACCTGTCCATGCCTACAGGAAGTCGGAACTCCATTACTCGCTACAACTTCGGAGGGCCTTCCACTGCAATTTAGAGGAACGTTGCATTGTACGAATAGTTTTGGGTAAGCCCGATGCTAATTATAAGTTAAATAATTGTCTTACTGTTTTTCTGTATACATCGCCATGACAGAAGAAGAGTTCACACCTGTAGCAATGCTGTGGCCAAACAAAAGGGCAGTAGCTCTAAGAAAAACTGTTCAAATCTAACGACATCATTCATATTGCATGGGTCACATTAAGTCATTTCATTTAACGAAAAAGTGCCTAAAAGGATCAGGCAATCCAAAGTGTCACTACGCCTAACATCAATGCCGAAAGACGTTGGAAGACTGGGACCAAGACTAGAGGTCCAAGTCTTCACCTGCACTGGCTCCATTTCCTAATAAATAAGAGCAAGCAACAGCGAAGAAGTAACTCCCCTATTCTAGACACTTTTTTTCAACAATCATGGGGCCCTCTACTGGAGAGAGTGCTCGCAGTACTGGCACTCTGGTGCCTGGTACTCAACACCAGGGAGACAGCAGTGTGCATCGCAGCGGAGAGGGATGCTCTGGTTGCCTTCAACGCCAGCATCAAGGACCCTCATGAGAGGTTAAGTTCATGGAGAGGTGAAAATTGCTGCGACTGGAGCAGTGTCAGATGTAGCAAGAAGACTGGCCATGTCGTCCAGCTGGACCTTGGCGGATACGCTCTTCAAGGTGAGATCAATCCATCTTTGGCTGGTTTGACCAACTTGGTATACCTCAACCTCAGCCAAAGTGACTTCAGCGGGGAGAACATCCCTGAATTCATGGGCTCTTTCAACATGTTGAGATATCTTGATCTTTCGGGTGCCAATTTTGGCGGTCCAATCCCACCTCAGCTCAGTAATTTAACAAGGCTCCGATACCTTGACCTATCCGGTTCTCATATGATAACTGTCGGTAACTTCCACTGGGTTTCAAAACTGACTTCCCTGAGGTATCTTGACCTCAGTTGGTTATATCTTGCTGCCTCCTTGGATTGGCTGCAGGCTGTGAATATGCTTCCTTTGCTCGAGCTGTGAATATGCTTCCTTTGCTCGAGGTGATTCGCTTGAATGACGCATACCTTCCTGTCACCAACCTCAATTGTCTTCCTCAGGTGAACTTCACGACCCTTAAAGTACTTGATCTCAAGAGTAATAATCTTAGTTCTTCCTTGCCAAATTGGCTTTGGAATCTATCTTCCGTTTCAGAGTTGGACCTGTCTAGTTGTGGGCTTTATGGTAGGATTCCTGATGAGCTAGGAAAACTGACATCACTTAAGTTTCTTGCACTAACCGACAACAAGTTGAAAGGTGCAATACCACAACCAGCAAGCAGTCCGAGCAACTTAGTACACATTGATTTGTCCCGCAACCTTCTGTCAGGAGATATCATGAAAACAGCAAAGAATCTTTTACCTTGCATAAAGCGTTGGCAAATTCTAGACCTTTCTGACAACAAATTAAAAGGAAATATATCTGGATGGCTTGAGCAAATGACAAGTTTAAGAGTTCTTGATCTCAGTAAGAACTCAATATCTGGAGATGTGCCAGCCAGCATGGGCAAGATATCAAACCTGACACATTTGGATATATCCTTTAATTCATTTGAAGGCACGTTATCAGAACTCCACTTTCTCAATTTGTCAAGATTGGACACTTTAGTTTTGTCATCGAATTCCTTGAAGATTGTAATGAAGCACGGCTGGGTGCCCCCCTTTCAGCTCAGAGAGCTAGGAATGCATGCTTGCATGGTAGGGCCACAATTTCCAACCTGGCTGCAATCACAAACTAGAATCGAGATGATTGATCTAGGTAGTGCAGGCATCAGTGGTGTATTACCTGACTGGATCTGGAACTTCTCTTCATCAATTACTAGCTTAAATGTATCAACAAATAACATAAGTGGAAAATTGCCTGCAAGTTTGGCACATTTGAAAATGCTGACAGCTCTCAATATGAGGTATAATCAACTCGAGGGAAGTATTCCTGATTTGCCAATTGGTGTTCAAGTGTTGGATTTATCCCACAACTACCTGTCTGGATCATTTCCACAGAGCCTCGCGGAAGTTGAATTATATTACCTGCTTCTCTCAAACAATTTTCTTAGTGGAGGAATCTCAACAGATCTATGCAACATGGTATCAATGTTAGTTATTGATCTATCTAACAACAGTCTTTCAGGGGAGCTTCTGAACTGTTGGCGTACAAACTCAAACCTGTATACCATAGACTTCTCAAGCAATAATTTCTGGGGAGAAATACCATCCACCATAGGATCTCTAAGTAACCTCGTTACACTATCTCAGAAATAATAACTTATCTGGGATATTGCCCACCTCATTGCAGTAATGTAGCAGGCTGATGTTTCTTGATCTTGGTGACAATAATTTGTCTGGAAACATACTGAAATGGATAGGTGATGGCCTACAGAGTCTGGTACTTCTGAGTTTAGGTTCTAATCAGTTTTGTGGTGAAATACCTGAAGAACTATCCCAACTTCATGCTCTGCAGTATTTGGATCTTAGTAACAACAAACTATGTGGCCAGATACCACATGTCCTGGGAAATTTAACAGCCTTGCACTTGAGCAGTCAAATCTGGGACACGTCGCCTTTTCTTGAATTCATGGTTTACGGTGTCGGAGGTGCTTACTTTTATGTGTACACGGATACTTTAGAAGCAACATTCAAAGGTCAAGTATTGATTTTCAGAATGTATTACTATTTATATTTAACGAGCATTGATCTCTCAGCAAACCAATTGACTGGTGAGATTCCAAGTGAAATCGGATTTCTATCGTCTTTATGAAGCTTGAATCTGTCAAGGAATCTCATTGGAGGAAGTATTCCTGATGAAATTGGAAGCATGAGAGATTTAGAATCACTGGACCTCTCATGGAATGATCTATCAGGTTGAATTCCTCAGAGCTTGACGTCAGTGTCATCTTTGAGTTATCTGAACTTATCCTACAACGACCTCTCGGGAAAGATACCATTGCAAGGCCAATTTCTGACTTTCTATGGAGATTCCTACTTGGGAAATGTGAATCTTTGCGGGGCTCCACTATCAAGAATCTGCTTACCCAACAACAGCAAGCATTATCCAAGAAAAAAACAAGTGGAAGCATTTTGATACGCTGACATACATGTATACGTTGCTGGGTTTTGCAACTGGATTCTCCATTGTTTGCCTGACCCTCATATCCAGTGCAGCTGCAAGAAAGGCATATTTTCAGTTCGCCGATGGCATACTTCATAAGTTGCACACTGCAACTGACATGAAGCTCCATATCAACAGGATGTTAGCAGGACGTGACCTGTCCCTGCCGACAGCAAGTCAGAACTCCTTTACTCGGTACAACTTCGGAGGGCCTTCCACTTCCACTGCAGTTTAGAGGAACATTGCATAGTATGAATAGTTTTGGATAAGCCCGATGCTAATTAACTTAAATAATTGGCTTACCATTTATTTGTATAAATTGACTTCAGTATCCAGCTTGGGATGTGTTTTGCAAGTTTCAGTTGCCTGCGATAGGACAATCACAATATAAAATTGGGCAAAAATCCGTCAGCGCTACCGCTGATGCTAGGATCCGTGACTTGCCTGCAACGAGGAATACGACGGTGGTTGTTTCGGGGAGGACGCACCGAAGCGGCGAGGTCATCGCCATCCGTTTCGCCTCCGCCGTCTGCGCGCGGCGCGGCGGTGCGGACAGCCGGACGCACATCGACCGCCCTCGCCTACTCAGAACGCTCCGGCGCCCATGGGTTCCTGCCGAGCGCCTTTCCTCGGCGCCCAGCAGGCCAGCACGCACTGACGCCATCCCGACCGCTGGCCATGGCGGTGGACGGTATGCCCGCCGTCCGCGGGGGTGGACGGCGCACGTGAGTATCAGATGGGCCCAAATCTGGCCCAATTATCTCAGCCCACTCGTTATCGAAGCCCGATATACGAACGGGAGCCTGTACATTACCGCCATTACAACCTCGACGAGGGTACTTTTTTCCTGCACTTGCATGAACATAACCCGACTACTGGGCGCCGAACAAAAGGAAATCAACTCTAAAGAAAATTCTGTTCATATCTAACCACATCATACAGATCACCTGGTTACACCATTTCAAAATGGCAGATCAAAGTATAAACTGCAGGAATAAAGGGTTTTCTTCAACCATCGTTTGCATCCACACATAACCCGAGTATAACATCCTTTAAGGCTTAAGCAAGATGAAAAGCCAACGAAATTTATATTATATCTGCGCCTTTCAGACATATATGTATCGCTTCTTTTACCGAACATACAGTATATCCTCAATCATCCAGACATGACATACACCCCCAACCTCTTCCAAGACGACAGCATGCAGCTAGCCTCTGTCGCCGCCGGCCGGATCAGCTGCTGCTGTTCTCCGACCACGCATCACCACCCCATTGCCACTGGCCGGGAGGAGCTGCCGCCTGCGGCCGTTTCATGTTCAGGCTGAGCGCAGCCTGCTGCAGCTGCTGCGTCTGCAAAGGGTGCAACGGCTGGTTGGGGTGCTGCTGCATCGCCAGGAACGGCGGCATTGCTTGCCTGGGGTGGTGGAAGACCTGCTGATTCCCACCACTGAAAGCGTGCGGCGGTCCGGCGAAGTTCATCATCATCTGATTGCCCATCTGCCCTGTCGCCACCTTCAGCCGCTGCAGCTCCGATTTCAGGGCCTCGTTCAGAGCTGCAACAGGATTGTGCTTGTGTTGTTCATTCACTTGTTTGGCCAGAACAAAAGCTAAGCATTGCTGCGATTTTGGCAGAATGAAAGAGGAAATGTGTAGAGAAGCAGTTAGTGTGATGTTGAGCTTTGTTTACCATCTTGTAGGTGGACTTGTTGTTCTGTGCTCTGCAGACGTATCTTCAGTTCGCTGTTCTCAACCGTCAGCCCAGCTGTGTCTCTCTGTTTGTATTAGAAAATAGGAAGGAGGAATGATTAGCTACAGGCCTACAGCAATGAGAAATTAACATGAACTCAGAAGAATACTAAAGAAAAAAAAAGGCTTGGCTGCTTCAAAGAAACTAGATCCAGGCTAGGGAAAAGATTGTTGGATCCTGCTACAGTCATAAACTACTATCGCTGTATGCTCAAATGGATCACAGCTAGACCAGGCTAGCCTAGCTCAAATGGGCCAGCAGGCCGGCCTGTACTGTTCGAATATACTAGGATATAGGTTCCTATCAAGTCTCAGTCATTATTAGAAAGTCTATCTCATGTAAGCAACATGGATCATGATTATAAGATCCCATCTATAGTTTGTTTAACCATCAAATCGAACCTCCTCCTAGAAATAGTGGCTCCGTGTACCATTTGTAATCAATAAAGACAGAGGGGAAATCCCTATCTCCTAGTTGTTGCTCTCTCATCAAGCGTAATTATTTGTTCACAGCAGTGTTCATACCACCCCTCCTCTCTCCAAAAAATCTATGTCCACTAGCAATAATACATCATATCCCCGAGTGCAATGTTTTCGAAACATCCTGAATGACTGTCTTAGCTAACATCATAATTATTAAAAATGTAGTAACAAACAACTGAAAATCAGTTTAGAACAGAGTAGTAACAAACGATTGATAATTAGTCAAAAACAGAATAGTAACAAACAGTAGTAACAAAAAAATCGAAATTTACAGGACATCACCAACAGAGAAGAAGCGTTCACACCTGTAGCAATGCCAGCTGGGTTGCCAGTGCTGTGGCTTCTCTCTGCATGAACTGCACCTTCCGCTCAAGTTCAGCAATGTACCTCATCTTCCTTTCTTTTGATCTTGCTGCTGACTGTCTATTATTTATAATCCTATCACATGATTCACCAAGCAATAATCAGAATAGACAATTAAGCGTTTCTCGAACAAAAGGACTAAATTAGTTTTTAGAAAAGGTTTGATTTCCACCAATGCTGAGTTCTTCTGAACTCATTATCCTTGCAGCTTTATTTCTGACTGTGTAGGATTTTCTCATCAAGAAAAAAACAACATGCAAGGATTATAGTTTAGAACAACAAAAAAAAGCCTTTTATTCCCAAGCAAGTTGGGTGGGCTAGAGTTGAAACCCAACATAGGGCGACCAACAAGGGGAAAAGAAAGAGAAAAAAATGTATATATACAAGGCATGATAATAGGGGATCTAAACCCTGTTCATGGTACAGGCACATGAATAGCTGTTTTTAATGCTCATCCAATGACAGTTTTCCAAGTATATTCCATCCTTTCATTGTTTTCCTTGATATATAGCAGATATGAGGCACTCTTTTGAGTGTCTTCATAAAAAAAGCAATTCCTTTTTAAAGTAATTACATCGATACATCACAAAAAAGAGGACAAATTTAGGTACAAACTTCAATTTATTTTACTTGACATACGAAATGTAATTCTTCAGAAGAAGAAAAAAAAAGGACTAATGCAAATACTGTTAGATTCTGCAACTAACAAGTCTGGACATACGGTGGAAGTCCAGGAATGCAATGTACAATTTCCTTTGGACTGTAACCAGTTCTGAAAAAAGGAGTTCTAATAAGTCATCACAGTTAGGTTTGTTTCATGACAAAAAGTCGGTATCCTTTCTATATCTATACCAAAATACAGAATAACAACACCAGAACAGAATCATCCAGCAACAGAACATGCTACTATACTATATTATCCAGTATCCACTGCAACATGATCCCCGAAAAACAAAACTTTGAAGTTTCACCCCGTATGATCCCCAAAAAACTAATTTGAAGTTTCACCCCGTGTATACAGCTCTACTATTTACTAGCACAAAAGATTCAGCATGTATAAAAAATAAAATTCTCTTAGGTGTTAAGGTGCATAGCCTCCAGAGTCAAGAATCAGTGCTTTTCTAGTTTTCTTTAGTAAGAAAAGGCAAGAGCGAGCGCTAGCTTGTTTGGTTAGTAGCCTAGTCGTGTGTTTGGTTAATACTCCCTCCATCCCAAATTGTAAGACGTTTGACTTTTTTGACCTCAAGTTTGACCGCTCGTCTTATTCAAAAATTTTGTGCAAACATAGTAAAATTTAAGTCATTCTTGAAGAACTTTTATTAATAAACAAAGCCACGACGAAAGAAGTGATATTTTGCACAAATTTTTGAATAAGACGAGTAGTCAAACTTGTTGTCAAAAAAGTCAAACGTCTTACAATTTGGGATGGATTGAGTAGTCTAGTTGCGCCCTAGCCAACCTGGCACTGGATCTTATCCTTGTTCTTCTTAATTTATATTTATTAATTTATTAATTATTATTAATTATTAATATGGCTTCCCTGCCATATATCTTCTCCTCCTTATAACTTAACAATTTACTATTTATTATAATGGCATGGTCATATATTTCACTGTTCTTACTTCTTAGTTAGGAGGGTTGCCAGAACAGTGAATCGACAAGAGAATTCCTCTCTGCAGTTCCTGGCAAATAGTGAATCCACAAGAGAATTCCCCTCTACAGTTCCTGACAAATAATTTTCTCTTTCCCTCCAACGACTACTTGTCTAATTGTCTTTCATGCCATCTGCATTGCATCAATTCTTACAGAATCATCATGTAACAACTCGAACCAGAATGATTAAGGATATCTGCCCAAGAAAGCACCAAATTCATCTACTTGGTACGAAATAATATACTAACAAAAATCCATTTTAATTTGATGGAGAACACACTCAGATGAACGAAACATGATCTAACAGATGAACTTCATAAGGAACAAACAAAAGAGATCCACAAAAACAATACCTTTTTGCCTTCTTTGGATCGATGAGCGCTAGCTCGGCAAGCTTTGCGGCGGACATTGCCTTCTTCACCCCTGCCGGCGACACCCCTTCCATTGCCGTTGTCCCGAACAGATGCTCTGCGTTGATGGAGCTCGAGGCGTCCATCGAGTGCCTGTGATGATGCCTCTGCCCATGACCTGCCCCAGGCGCCGCAGACGTCTCAGTTGCCTCTCCCCGACCCCCGGCCATGGCGCACGATGACTCCGACTCTGACGCCCCGCACCGCGAATTCAGCTTATCAACGTCCAGGAACATGGAGAAGAGCTCCTCCTCGTTCTCGTCCGACAGCGCGGGCGCATCGCCCGCGCCGGGGGCGCCGAGGTCCAGGTCGTCGGGGAGGCCGATGATCTCTGAGAGCGCGCGCCGGTGGCCGGGCTTGCGCAGGGGGGAGTCCGGCATGCTGCTGATGTCGCACTCCGTATGAGGAGTCGGCGAAGGCGCCACCGCGTCGGACGAGGATTGCGTCTCCGGGCCATTGCCGGCGCCGCTACCTCCTCCTGCATCGCCGCCGCCGCCGCCGCCTGCGATCGGTGTCTTATCCATGTTCATGTTATTGCCAGCAAGAATCTCAGAAAAGGAAACGCCTGCACGGAAATACGTTGCTCCACACTAAGCTGCGAAAGATGAAGAGGATGTCGAACAGAAATTCTCGAGAAAGGAGATAACAATTTTGACGTACAAATCAGGATTCGAAGGAACCACAAAAAATGACTAGATCTAAAGTTGCTTCTGATGAAAAACTGGAATCATGCAAAGAAGAGCATATGACCTGCCATTGCAGTATCCAAACCAAAAGAGAAGAGAAGGATGATCGGAAAGAAACTTTTTTCTTCTTCTTGGCCTCTTCTTTCTCAGACTTGGAGATTCGTGTAACTCAATTTTGGATGAAAATGGAGCATGGAGAATCCTGGAGACTCGGGAGATTTATATAGGACATTATTTGTTGGTAAAATAAATTTGATGTGGAGTGTGGATCACGTGTGTGAAACTGTGAAATGAAACAAGAAAAATGGGGAAGTTTTTTTTGTCAACCATAACAAAAATCACATTTTGTCAAAAGATGAAGGGGTAAAAAGTTAAAATACATTTCAGTTGCTGTAGAAACAACGTTTTGCATAGCATGGATTGATTTCATCCCTCACATTACAACGCGCGTGATGGACGTATGTAAAAATAAAATGTTCTTTTGGGCCGCACCAGTTAGCATGGAAACCTAAAAACGGTAATAACGCGGTGATTTGTGGATAAGTAGTGGTTAGAATTGTGAATATAAGGAAAACGTCAAGTAGATTTGGACGCGATATTTTTTTCTTAGAAATGATAATGAATAACTGGTCAAGCACTTGCAAAAGTGTGAAATATATATATATATATATATATATTATTCATATACCAAATCAATGCACGGAGCCACTTGTTTTGCAGTTATTATATCCAAATCAATACTTAATTATTGACTAAAAATCATACTCAATTACTCCAATGCAATTATGAATTTACAACAGGACGAACCCTTGACCATGCGTGGTAATGCTAATCTTGCATTCTATTTTTTCAAAGAAAAACATAGTACAAACGTAGATGATCGCATATGCATACTCATCTTCATGATTAACCATACTCACTCCTACGAATACATATACACTACGAATACATATACACGTCCGATAGATCTTGAAACTATTGTAGTGCTCATGGCCTCATGGACGCCTCATTGACATGCACGTTATCTATCGGTAAAAGAATAATATTTTAAATTATAGCCATTTGTGTGGTTATTCAAACAATCCGAAGGGCAGCGTCCACAGTTGCACCACAAATGACCTAACCAGCTAAAGTATGTGTAGCTCACAATCTTGCATCATGTATTATGTCTTCGCATACGGCATATCTCTATCTTTGTAAATTCTCATTGCACCCGATGGTTTTTCTTCCTACGTGCAAGTCTAGAATGTTGAATGCTATGATGCAATTGTTCCTTCTTTACTAGATGAGTATTGATACAACTACACATTAATTTGCATAAATCTAAGCACAATTCAGGATCCAATCATCAAATCACTTGCATGTAAATTCATTGATGCATTGATGAAGTACACAAAAGATATATATTAATGAGGTTTCCTGGACCATTGCCTGCATATATTAATAAGAAGGTATATATATTGCACTTTATCAATGATATTGATAATTAGTGCCAACCCTTGGGGGAGAACAGGGTGCGACGGCCGAGGGCCTAGGCAGGGAAGGGGCCCAAGCTCAGGTATACAAATCCTCAGGCCCTATAGCCCATTAGGAATTAGCAAACTAATGAGAAGAGAGACACACAACTGGCCAGGTGATCAAGAAGACAACATTGGCCTTTCTTTCCTATGGCCCTCGGGCAGAGAGGAGGTGAGGAGCCGCGCTGACACACAACACACCCTGATCGTGAGTTCGCGACGTGCCAACGCACACACGCGGAGCCGGCGAGCCTCATCGCTGCGAAGAGCTGGACTGCCGGAGACACAGACGCGGCGCACGACGACGGCGACCAGATAGGGCTCCACGATGATGGCATCTTGATTCTTGGCTTCTTGCGAATTGCGATCACCGATCAGTTGTTTAGGCCCAAGGTATTCTTTTCCTTTTCATTTTTTTAACCCAAATTAATTATTTATATAGTATTTCAGACTTCTAGTGCTTTGTACTCATATAGTCATGTTTTTCTTCTAATTTAAATGTTAGAATTTTAGAATATTACCTAAGAAACATTTGTCAGGAGCTGAGAAAAGAAAATGAATATATTGTTTTTTTAATCTACATTGTTCCTTGATAATTATCATACATGTACAAATATATTCTTTTTTAATCTATATTATTCCTCGATAATTATCAGACATATTAAATTAAAAATATATTATTGGATTTGCTTTCGTTTTATAAGTAAAATTAGTGCCTATATATTATAAGATTTTATATATGGTCTAGAGGGAACGTCGTAACGAGTTCATTAGAGGGCCCTTAAAATCCTAGACCCGGCACTGTTGATAATATGCATTATAAAAAAAGTTGAAGCCCAGTTTTCTAACCAATTAAGGACCTATTTGGTTCATGACCAGAAGTTGTTGCGCTACATGTTAGGCATGCCAAATTAAAATTACGTGTTTGGTTTACTACCATAGCTTAGGGTGCCAAACAAACTTAGAGGGTGTTTAAATCAAAGGGCTAAAGTTTAGGGGTGTCATATCGGGTGTCACATGGAGGTGTCACATCGAGTATTCAGATAGTAATAAAAAACAAATTACAGAAGTCCTCAATAATCCGCGAAATGAATTTATTAAGCCTAATCAATTCATCATTAGCACATGTTTTACTGTAGCACCATATTGTTAAATCATGGACTAATTAGACTTAAAAAAATTTATCTCACAAATTAGTCTCAATTTACGCATTTAGCTTCATAATTAGTCTACATTTAATACTTCATTTATGTGTTCAAACATTCAATGTGACAGGGCTAAACTTTTAGCCGAGGGAAACAAACATGGCCTTAGCCGCAACCCGGATGCTTCCTAAAGCACTCCTTGCCAAAAGTCTGGTGAATGAATCATTCACCGTGATTTCGGCAGAACAATATAACGAGAGTGATGCGTGTACTGCCCTTTGGTTAAAAAAAAAAGCGCAAAACTTTGGCATGCATACAGATATGAGTGGCGCGAAAGTGCAACCACGATACCTATTCTGTCGATATTACTCCACCACTTAGCCATCCTCTCCTTATTTCTTCAATGTTGGGTGGTAAAGAAATTTTACCGTGGGTGACATTGCCGCTTGGGTTTGCCACAAATTCTTCCGTAAGACGGAAGAGCTCTTCCACGGTAGTAATACAGGTGGTTCTCTTGTCATGGATCAAGAAACATGCTTGATGATTAGACATGGAATATATTTTTATAGTGTATTTTTACAATTAGCCTTTGATGTTTATGGATCCAGTCAGGCCCACCATTTTTCTTTGGAGTTTGTCTACTGCACAATCATGTGTTTTATACAATCCCAACACATGAATTTTTTTGCACCATAAAATTAAGATCAAACAGCCTTCATCCTTCTTCTACCTCCAGACAATCACAAGATCACAGATCCACATATCACAGAAAATAATTTTTTTCTATAAAAAGACAAAATATAGAGGGGTTGGTTCCATTGCCCGTTCTTCATGGGTCGTCGCGTCGTGGTCCCCTGGCCGGTGCTGCGCTGCTGATGTCGCGTCATGGGTCGTTCGAAGCGCAGATCTGCTGGTGCGCTGCTGGTGCTTGACGGACGCAGATCCGACGGACGCGGATAAACCGAGGCAACGATCCGATGGACTAAAATCTATATATTTTTTTATGCTAAAACACACGTGTAATGTATAGCATTTCTGTTTTTTCCTTTCTTTGACACCAAGGGAAAAGTACCAAAACAACCACTACAATCTCAATCCAGCCCATTTTTACATTTGAATCCAGACCGGCCCATGTTTTGGCTCAACCAAGTTAACGGCCCAATTAACCCTTCCTTCGCGGCCCTGCCTGCCTGCACCACCACCGTCACCCCTTCTTCCCGTTCGCCACCGGTGCCGGGGCCACCTCGCCGCCGCCGAGCATGGCGGCAGCAGAGTCCACGTTGGTGAGGAGGTACTCGTAGATCTTCTTCCTCAGCCGCTCTATAGTCTCCTCCGGCACGCCGCTGGCCGCGCCGCCGTTCGCAGTGGGTGCCGCGGCCTCGCCATCCGCTTCCGGTGGCGGATGCGGCGCCATCTCCGCCGGCTTCCCGATCTCGCTCAGCCAGTCGTTGACGCGCTTAAGCTGCGGAAGCATCCTCGCCGCGCGGTCGCGGTCCCACGGCGCGGCTGCCGCCACGTCCGCGTCCAGGAGCCGCTCCACGAACGCCAGGAACCATCCCCGCGCTTCCTCCCCGAGCCGCCGCGCCAGCTCGCCCCGCTCCTCCGCGCCGCCTCCCCGCTCCCACTCAGGCGGAGGCACTGCAGCCGCCGCAGCGGCGGCGGCGGCCGCCGCTGCGGCAGCGGAACCAGCTCTCAACCTCCCCTTCGCCGGGGACAGCCGCGACTTCGCGGGCGGCGACGCCTTCGCCGCCGCCGCCGCTGGCTTGGCTGACTCGTCCACGAGCACGACGGCCAGCGGGGAGATGGCACTGGCAGGGGCGGGTTTGAGGTTGTAGAGGGAGAAGGCGGAGAGATCGGTGGCGAGCCCGGCACCGACCCAGGAGGCTGCCCGGCGGCGGCGCTCCGTCGCGACGGCCAGAGTTTCCTCGTCGGCAGTTGACGCGTCGCCGGCTGCTGATTGATCCGGTGAATTTGCGGTGGAGGCCGTGGCAGTGGCCTTGGTTAGAGACTCGGTAACGATGGTGGCTTGGGAGAGAGCTCCATGCAGAGCGAGGAACTGCTCAACGGCCTGCTGTGGGTTCTGCTCCTCCGCCGACGAGCTCACCTCCGCGTACGAGCTGATCAGAGCAATACAACGGTCAGACCGAGGTCAAATTGCATCAATGCTTCTAACAGTGAGTAAGCAAAGTAAAACCACATTCAAGAAACTTCAGGATCATAGAATTTTGCATTGCAGTTCTTGAACAACTACTGTAACATACATACAGCAGTAAATTCACATTTTGATCAGACTTTCAGATTAAACCAAATTCACATTTGCTGTTGGTCAGGATAGGGAGCACAGTGAGAATGGTTGGTTTCATATTGCTTTTTTTTTTCTAACCAGTTTCATACTGTTGTTAATACACT